ATCCTCATCACCTCACTGTCCCCCACAGACAGGAGTGCAGCCCCAGTCCTTATCACCTCACTGTCCCCCACAGACAGGTGTGTAGACACCCATCCCCATCACCTTGCTGTCCCCCACAGACAGGTGTGCAGACCCCCGTCCTCATCACCTCGCTGTGCCCCACAGACAGGTGTGCAGCCCCATACTCATCACCTTGCTGTCTGCCATAGACAGGTATGCAGGCCCTGTCCTCATCACTCTACTGTCCTCCCACAGATAGGTGTGTAGCCCCCATAGACAGGCATACTGTTACCCCATCCTCATCACCCCATTGTCCCCCCTAAGACAGGCGTGCAGCGCTCCCTCGTGATGGAGCCAGCCCAGATTATTGGGTGTAGAGGGAGTGGCCTTCAGTAGGTGGGGTTTGGAGAGTCTGAGCGTCAGTGTCCCATGTACCATTGTGACATAGCGGACTGTTTCTACGATGAGAGTCTGCTGCTGCCATGTTGTGTTGTCCACACTCAGCTGGGGATCAGCCCTTGGATCAGCACAGGCTTTTCAGGACCCCTCACCCCACTGTGTTTGAGACCTACTGTTGAGCATATGTGAGCCTGAACCCCCCACCTGTGCCTGTCCCCCGAAGAAGAGCGTTGAGCTGTGCTCAGTGAGTGCCCACCAACAGTATGAGCAGCGTGTTCCTTTCTCTTTCAGCATTGGCAGGATGGCAGGACGGCTTCCCCAGGACATGGCGGATGATGTGGTGGGGTCCATGCTGGATTGTTTCAGGTATGGGAGATATCCGTGCGGATCCTTAAGCTTAAGACCTCTTGTGTTTTCTCTAATGAAGTGATCTGTCAGAACCCACAAAGTCTTTTAATAGACTTGAGAATGGTAGTTATTTCTGACACACTGCTCTTCCCAGCCTGGAATGCATCTTATGTGAAGACCTTGGGGAAGAGCAAAACTCGCTTCTGAACATGTACCCCAGAAATAGTCATTCTCAGAGAAAACCTGTGGCTGTCTGGTGTGGTCTGGATCTGCGCTGTCAAAGAGAGTGTTCCATGGCAACGGAGCATTCTAGACTGAGGCCGTCCTTGAAGAGCGTTCCATGGCGATGGGATGTTCTAGACTGATGCTGTTCCTGAGAGTGTTCTGTGGTGACTGGTGCTGCCCGTGCAGTAGCTGCTAGCCACATGTGGCTCTTGAGCCTTTAAAACCAGGCTGCTGTGATGGGACTGAACTTCAGATTTTATTTAAATTTAATGAATGTAAATTAAGAAGCTCTGTGTGTGTGCTTGTGGCTGTATTGTGTCAGTCACAGTGGCCTTTTGGAGAATTCAGGTTGTCTTGTGGTGCAGGACTTGAGATGAGGGGTGGGCTGGTGTGGGCCAGTGGGTTTCACGTGTGAACCTGGGGCTACAGACGCATGAAGGGCAGGCCCCACGGAACTGCCGTGCTCCCATGGTGGGTGGGGCCTGTGGATGGGCACTCAGAGTTGTAGGCCGCCTGACCCTGTGACCCTCATGAGGATGTCCTTGTGGATGGGCACTTGACATTGTCGGTCACATGGCCCCATGATCCTCAGTAAGATGTCCTTGTGGACAGGCACTTGGTGTTGTAGGCCGCCTGGCTCCGTGGCCCTCGTTAGGAAGGCATTATGGATGGGCAGTCAGCGTTGTAGGCCGCCTGGCCCCGTGGCCCTCATTAGTGGTTGTTAGAGCTGTCATGGTGTGTGGCTGTGCTGCTTCGGAAGCTGTGCTATCGGCCCTTTTGGGTGCTCAGGTGTCCCCCCTCATAGACAGGTGTGCGGTGCCCCCCTATGATGGAGCCAGCCCAGACCCTGGTGGTCAGTCACCAGGGACGCTCTGTGCATCAGCAAAGCGTTGCCCCTACTTGAGTATGTTCTCTCTCTGCTTTGCCTTGAGCCTGCTCAGCAGACTTGTGTCCCAGGTATGCAGGGTACGACGTGTCCAGTGCTGGTCATGTGAGGCGGATGTATGTGCAGGGCAATGTGTCTTCACAGTGCCCGCAGACATCACGGCTTCTCAGTGCTGCTCTGTGAGGTGCCTGGACTCGAGGCAGACAAGTCTTCCTCTTCCCGTCCTGCACTGGTGTGGTCCTGAGTGTCCTGGAGCTCTCTGGTGTCGCCTGCAGGGCCTGGTGCAGGGGACCTGGGGAGGGTTGCAGCCAGAACCTCCTGTCCAGGGAAAGGAACTTGGAGCGAGCTAAGGTGCTGAGCTGCTTCCCTGGCCCTCCCCCGACCCCAGCCTTCCCTTTGGCCTCTGCCTCGTGTGCTTTCTTCTTTCTTCCCGAGTCGTATTTCTGCAAATTCGTCCTGTTAGAGGCGCCTTTTTATCTAAGCCCTTCCTGGAGTTTCAATGCCTTCTCTTCACCTGTGCTGCCTCCTAGGGCCCTGCTGTGCCAGGCTAGGCGTGAACCCCTGCGTCTGGCCTGGCAGCCCTCGTGGTGTGCACAGGTCTGAGCCTGCTTCTGCTCCTGTCTCGTTCCTGAGCCTTAGCCCCTCTTCCTGACTGGCTGCTGAGCCCCTGCTTGCAGGCCTGCAGCCTGAACCTGCCACGTCCACCCTGCTCTCTTTCCTCCCAGGACTTGTGTTTTTGCCGAAGGCGTGGTTGCTCTTGAGGATTGAGCCCTTGGTCTACCCTCCTCATCACTCTCCTCATGCTGCCTGGGTCTCCTCACACACTTCTTCACCTTCATTTAGTATTTTAACATACTTATCTCATCTTGCAACTGAATGGTGACATATGAGGAGGTCTGGTGTGCCCTCTAAGGCCTGCAGCGGGACGCAGTGAAGAGGCCCACTCACCAGGTCTGAGTGATGCTTGGCTCGGGGAGGGTTCTAAAGGCATGCAGCCCGGGGTCTAGTGACCAGGCTTCTAAGGTCTAGGTGTCCATGAGTCCAGTATCTGGGGTCCAGAGGTCCAGGGCATAGGGGTCCCAGAATGTAACACCCAGAGGATGGTCTGTGGTTCATACATGGACTGCAGCCTATAGTGCTGTGTGAGTATGTATGTGTGTGGTTTGTATGTGTTTATGTATGTGTGGTATGTGTTAGTTTGGCATGTGTCTGTGGGTATAAGTGTGGGGTGTGTATGGATATGGGTATATGTATATGTGTGCTGTGTATGTGGTGTGTATGTGTCTGGCACATGTATGTGTGTGTGGGATGTATGTGGTGTGTGTGTCATGTGGTGTGTGTGTGGGTATGTATATATATGTGGGTGGTGTGTGTATGTTTATGAGGTGTGTATGTGTGGGATGTGTGTGTACAATGTGTGGGTGTATGTGTGCGTGTGGGTGTATGTGGTGTGTGGTGTGGAGTGTATGTAATGTGGGTGGGGTGTATGTAGTATGGGTGTGGGGTGCATGTGGTATGTGGGTGTGGGGCGTATGTAGTGGGTGTGGGGTATGTGGGGTGTGGGTATGGGGATATGTGGGGTGTATGTGGTGTGTGGGTGTGGGGTATACATGGTATGTGTGGGTGGGTGTGGGTGTATGTGAGGTGTGTGGGGTGTATGTGGTGTGTGGGTGTGGGGTGCATGTGGTTTGTGGTGTGGGGGGTATATGGTATGGGTGGGTGTGGGTGTATGTGAGGTGTGGGTGTATGTGGGGTGTACGGTGTGTGTGGGGTGTATGATGTGTGTATGGTGTGTGTGTGGAGTGTATATGGGTATGTGTGGATCTATGGGTGTATGTGGTGTGTGTTTGTGGGGTGGGTTTGGGGTGTATGGTGTGGGTGTGGGGTGTATGGTGTATGTGGGTGTATGTAGTATGTGGATGTATATGTGTGTGTGTGTGTGAGGTGGATGTAGGGTGTGTGTGGGGTCTATGGGGTGTGTGTGTGGGTGTATGTAGGGTATCAGTGTATGTGGTATGTGTATGTATGTGTGTGTGTATGTGGTGTGTGGGTGTAGGGTGTGTGGGTGTATGTGGTGGGTGTAGGGTGTGTGTATGTGGTGGGTGTAGGTGTATATGTTGTGTGTGTGTGTGTGGGGTGTATATGAGTGTGTGGGTATATGTGGTGTGTGTAGATGTGTGTAGGGGTATGTGTAGGTGTATGTGGTGTGTATGTAGTGTGTGAGTGTGGGGTATACGTGTGTGTAGAGGGTGTGTGGGTGTGTGTGGTGTGTTTGTGGTGGTGGATGTGTAGAGGGTGTGTGTGGTGTGTATGTGGTGTGTGGGTGTGGGGTGTATGTGTGTAGAGGGTGTGTGTGGGTGTGTGTGGGGTGTGTGTATATATGCGTTGAGTGTATGTGTAGGTGTCTGTGAGGGGTGTGTGTGTGGTGTGTGTGTGGGTGTCTATGAGGGGTGTGTGGGTGGGGTGTGTAGGGGTGTGTGTCTGTGAGGTGTGTGTGTGGTGTGTGTGAGCAGTGTGTGTGGGGTGTGTGTGTGGGGTGTGTGTGTAGGTGGACTGTGCCCAGGCCTCCTGGTCTTGGTGTCCATTTTCATTTTTCTGGCCCCTTACAGGTAGATGGAGTGTGGGGTGTTCTTTTCCTACATGGGCTCCCCCCTGGGGCCTCTGCGTAGTCAGCCGCTCTCCAAGGGCCCAGTGTCCGGGCTGCTGCGCCTTCTCCCAGTAGGGACTGCAGTACAGGGGCTGGTCCCCATCTCAGCAGAAGCTTGTCTTGGACGGCACTGCTCTGGGCCTTTCTTTTGATTTCATTAAGTCTTTTACTGGGTTACACTTGAGTGCAAAGTTCCATGGGACAGGTAGGTAATAGAGAGCCTGGTGGCCTCTGCATCTGTGCCCCTGGCCCCTCCAGGCAGTCCCTCCAGGTGGCCCTGGGCACCAGCTTTGCAGATGGGCGTCCTCCCAAAGCGTTTGGAGCACATGTGAGCAGTTGAGCACATGGGCTCTTAGCTTATACAGAAGTGGCTCACTCTCTGCTCTGTACCTGACAGTGTGCCTGGAGTGTGTCTAGGCTGGTTTAGTGCTATCTCTGCCTGTGATGATCTGAGACCAGTGTTCCTGGTCCCTTGTTGCCCTTCCTGCTCTGGTTGTCCCTGTTGGTGTTGGGCTACAAGGTCTGAGAACCCAGGATTGCCAGGGGTGTGGATGTGAGGGTTATAGTCTTGGGTTCTCTGGGACGCATTTGGCATGTCCTGTGCCAGGCCTTCCTCCCAGGAAGTGACCTTTCCACACGGTGATGCTGGTGGTGGGATTGCCTTTGGGTGCCCAGTGCCATGCAGGCTCATGTGAGAGGATGGTGATCTAGCTGTACTCTGCTGGGCATACTTATGCCTGGCTGGGGCTGTGGCTCCTTGGAGACCCTGCTCATCAGTCCACAAGCCTGGGCCCGTGTCTGCCTGCTGCAGGCGTAACAGGGTGGGTGCTGCAGGGAGGCGGTAGAGTCCCTTCTTGGGCATGCAATGTGACCCAGCGATGTGAGGCTCTAGTCATGTGTGCCTCACCTGCCAGGTGCTTCCGTTGGACAGCAGCCTTGGATGTGGGTGTGGGGGTGGGTTGCTGTTGGATGTTCAGGATGCCGTCCTAGGAGCACTTGGTCCACACTAGAATCAGCACGAAGCTGAGCTTCATGAAATGGGACCTGTGTCTTTAGGGAAAGTGTGACACCGTTCCCTCACCCTAAAGTCCAAAGGGACACGAAGTGCTCCTGTTGTCTTTTGAAAATGGTCACTCAGCCTCTGGCAAGGACAGCCAAGAGAACACCTGGAACTTCAGAAGGCTATGAGATTGCAGCATGACTTGATGGTGAGCTCCGGGCAGCCTCATTTGTGTCCTGGGCTTCAGGACGTGCCTGGTGTATGCTGTGGCCTGTGGAGAGTGTGTCCTGGGCTTCAGGACGTGCCTGGTGTACGCTGTGGCCTGTGGATAGTGTGTCCTGGGCTTCAGGACATGCCTGGTGTACGCTGTGGCCTGGGGATAGTATGGCTGGGGGCTCTCCGGCATGCTTATCCTTGCACTTAGTGAAAGCTAGTAATGTGGTTTAGTTGGTTTTCCTAAACACGTGTTTGCCATCGAATGAATTGATTCAGAATGAGGCTCAGTCCCACGGTTTGTCTTGCTGGTTGGTGGAGTGCATTTTCATGTTTGCACTGGCAGCCAGGTCTGGAAAGTCCCAGAGCAGCTCCCGTCCCTCTGGCAGCTTGTCCTCCCTTGTCTCAGCTAGTCCTAGCGTGTGTGAGGGTGCCAGAGAGCTGCCCGACCACCGCAGCGCAGGTTTTATTCAGTGTGACAGTTTACTTGACTGTACTCCAAATAGGAGAAAAAATTTTCTCCACGCCATTTTATTACCTGGGTTTTTTGATCTTGAATTTGATTATTAAATGGTGGGGTATTGCAAAAACGGCAAGGAGGCCACATGTTCTGACCTCCTCTAATCCTACAAGAGGAAGACAGGATTACCAGCAGTAACCCAAGGCCTGTTACTGCAAGGCCAGACACGCTGCCTCCCTCCAGCCCTTTCTCCAACCGTTCCTCCCAGATCACCCACCACCTCTCTTCTGGGTTCGATAATTCACTGCAGTGGCCACACAGAGCTCACAGATTATGGGGTTTATTAGGGAAGCACCAGACTACAATTCAATTTCAGGAAGAACGCTCAGTCTCTCTCCTGGCCCACTGTCCCTCAGCTGACAGTGTCTCACAGTCTCTTTCCCAGCAGTACTGGTCCCTCAGTGTCTCACTCAGCAGTGCATGTCTCTTGCGCCTCTTTCCCAGCAGCACGTGTCTCTTTCCGCAGCACGTCTTCCTCAACTAGCAGTCAGAGAGAGTTCTCCCTCTAGGAGACCTCCTTTTGAGCCTGGCAGGGTGGTCAAACTAGCCAATCATAGCATCAGAACTCTAAGCACCTGAGAGAGAGTGGGAACCTCCCAGAACATTGTTTTGTGCCACTCCCAAAAGAAATACTCCAGGTGGACACCTTTAGCAATCAGGAGCTCCTCAGTTGCTCATAGCAAATCCCACCTTGGAGTTTACAAAGACTTATGGGTAGAAAAGCCATACTAAGTAATATACTACACCACAGGTGTCCTTTGAAGGATGGCTTCCTGCTCCTTTTCTGCTAATGGCTTATGTTCATCATTTGATATAGTCCGTCGTCTTTGAGTCTAGATTTTTCGTAGGTAGTAGTCTCCCTTTAAGGAGCTCTGGTGGTGCAGTGGCTATGGCATTTAGCTGTTAACCAGAAGGTTGGTGGTTCAAACCCACCAACTGCTCTATGGCAGAAAGATGAGGCAATCTACATCCATAAAGATTGACAGCCTTGGAAGCCCATGGAGGTTGCCATGAGTTGGAATTGACTTAATAGCAGAGGATTTAATATCCATTTAATGGGGAGTGTGCTGCTGCGTGTGCAGGGTTGGAAAGTCAGCGCCAGGCTGGGGAGGCCACACTCCAGACCTGTGGTGTGTGTGAGAGCCTGGCCAGCCACTGTCACAGTGTACTGTCGACTGTTTCCCTGTGGTGTGCTGTGAGTACCGACTTGTCACGGCACACTGCTGACTGTTTCCCTGTTGTGGCCTGTGAGTGCCAACTTGGTACGGCACACTGCTGACTGTTTCCCTGTTGTGGGCTGTGAGGACTGACTTGTCACAGTACACTGTTGTTTCCCTGTCGTGGGATGTGAGAATTGAGTGTGCATTTTAAGCACAGTGCACACTAGGGCTTTTCCTCGTTCTCACAAGATCTGAAGAACTGAATGTGGCGTTATCTTCATGTTCAGTTTGAGTATTTCATTTCTTAGTCACTCGTATTTTTAAAACCTCACTGATGGGTTTTATAGAAGCTGATGAGTGCAGAATGTGGCCCTGCTAGCCCATGTTCCTTGTCAGTCTGTGGCCATTGGATATAAGCTAAAATCAAAGCTAACCTGAGGTTTCCTGTGTGCTCTTAGTTTTCAGGAGACGGACAATGCGTGGCACGGTGGGTGTCTGGCGCTGGCAGAGCTGGGCAGAAGAGGCCTGCTGCTTCCCGCTCGACTCACTGACGGCAAGTGTCTGTGGCATGTTTGTTTTGTCATCAGAGCTGCCTCACAGCACACAGGTGGTCCATCCTCAGTGTGTCCCTTGCTGTGAGCACATGGGGGGTCCATCCTCAGTGTGTCCCTTGCTGTGAGCACACGGGTGCTCCACCCTCAGTGTGAACCTGCTGTGAGCACACGGGTGCTCCACGCTCAGAGTGAACCTGCTGTGAGCTCACGGGTGCTCTACACTCAGTGTGATCCTGCTGTGAGCACATGGCTCCACTCTCAGTGTCTGCCCTGCTGTGAGCACATGGGCCGTGTGCCCTCAGTGTGTCCCTTGCTGTGAGCATGCAGGTGCTCCACCCACAGTGTGAATCTGCTGTGAACACACGGGTACTCTGGCCTCCGTGTGATTCTGCTGGGAGCACATGGGTGCTGCGTCTGTGTGTCCTGTGCTGGGAGCACACGGTTCCCCTCGTTGTGAACCTGCGGTGAGCACACACCTCTGCCCTCAGTCTGAGTTCCTGGCTTCAGGTGTCTTGCTGGCTGTGTGGTTTGCAGGTACCCTCTTGCACTGTGGGGCTGGCTTTTCTCTCTCTTTTTTTTTAAATTTAAATTGTGATTAGGGTGAAAGTTTACAGAGCAAATTCACTTTCCATACAGCAGCTCACAAACACTTTGTTTCATGACATTGACTACAATTCACCACAATGCAACAGCTCCACTCTCACTTCCTCCCGACAGTTACCTCTTCCCTGTGTCTGTCCCTTCATGCACTCCTGCCCCCTGAGCTGTTTCCCTGCGCACACACAGCCCTTCTTTCTCCCACGATTGTTCTCTCCAAGGAGTGTATCTACCTCAGGTAATTGTTCAGCTCATATGCCTCTCTTTTGTTTGACTCAAAGCCACAGATGTAGGTTCAATTCCAGACCTGAAGGGCAGCTAGGGGCCATAGTCTCAGTGGTTCCATCAGACTCTATCCGTCCAGCAAACCTGGTCCCTTCTATTTTTTTTTTTCCCAAATGATTCTGAGTTTTGTTCCACATTGTTCTCTCTTTCTATCCAGGATCTCCTACATAGATCCCCCTCTGAGTGGTTGACAGTGGTAGCTGGGCACCATCTAGTTCTTCTGGTTTCATAGTTGTATAGGCTGAGGATCGCATAGTGTACCAGTCACGAGGACTAACTGTTTCCATGAATCTTTGGTTTTCTTCATTCTTTGCTCTGGACGAGGAGAGACCCATCGTTGCATCTAGATGGCAACTTGCAAGCTTTTAAGATCCCAGTTGCTACTTGCCAAAGTAGGATGTGGAACAATGTTTTGTGTAGTATGTTATGCCAGTTGAGCTTGATGTCCCCTGTGACTATGGTCCCAAGCCCACAGATCCAACTACTTGTTCCCTCTGGGTAGCTGGCTGTGACCAAGAAGTGACTATAGCCTTGTCCCTTGTCAGCTCTACTGTATATCTGGGAATTCTTAGAGAACATGCCAATACTCTTGTGGATGTGGGTGTGGGTTGCTGTGGCATAGACATGCCAATCCTGTACATGGTCTTGGGCATGCTTCCCCCTGCATAGACATACATAATACTTCAGCCTGTCCACCCATCTCTCCATCTGTATATCCATGTTTCTTTGACTGACAATGCAGTACTGTATGTGCAAAAGGGTTCATCTTTGTTGTCTGCACCTCCCATGCACCTCTCTATGTCTTCCTCTTCCTCAATGCCACCTTGTTGATCATTCACATTTGGTACATTGCCCTTTTCTTTCCCCAAATCAATACTTGTCTCTACCTATCTATGAGTGTTCCCTCCCCTCTCTTCCCACCCCTGCTAACCAACAAAGAAAATTCCCTTCCATATATAAATCTTTCCTTGACTTTTACAATAACAGATTGATAAAATATTTGCCCTTCTGTGATTGACTTATTTCATTCAGCATAATGGCCTCCAAGTTCACCCACGTTATGCGGTGTTTTGCCGATTTTATGTTATTCTTTAGGGTTGCATAATATTCCATTGTGTGTATGAACCAAAGTTTGGTTATTCATTCCTCAGTTGATGGACACCTAGGTTGTTTCCATCTTCTGGCTACTGTAAATTGTGCTGTGATGAACATGGGTGTCCATATGTCTGTTCTGTCCTGGCTCTCACTTCTTTAGGATATATACCTAGTAATGGGATTGCTGGGTCAAATGGTATTTCTAATTCCAGCGTTTTAAGAAATTGCCATACTGCTTTCCACAGTGGTTGTACCATTTTACAGTCCCACCACCAGTGTATGAGAGTCCCAATCTCTCCACATCCTAGCCAGCATTTGTTATTTTCTATCTTGCTGAACTTTGCTAAAAGTACTGGGGCAAGATGGTATCTCATTGTTGTTTTGATTTGTATCTCTCCAACGGCTAGTGATCGTGAGCATTTCTTCATATGTTTTTTAGCTGCTTGCATATCCTCCTTGATGAAGTGTCTATTCATGTCTTCTGCCCATTGTTTAATTGGATTATTTGTCTTTTAGTTGTTGAGGTGTTGGAGTTTTCTATAAATTCCAGAGATAAGTCCCTTGTCTGATAGGTCATTGCCAAATATTTTTTCCCAATATGTAGGTTCTCTTTTGACTCATTTGGAGAAGTCTTTGGAAGCACATAAAAATTTAATTTTTAGAAGGTCCCATTCATCTGGTTTCTCTTTTGCTGTTTGTGCATTTTGGGTTATGCTTGATAGGCTATTTATGTCATATATTAGGGTCCCTAAATTTGTCCCTAGTTTTTCCTTGAGGAACTTTATAGTTTCAGGTTTCACATTTAAGTCTTTGGTCCATCTGGAGTTAGTTTTTATGTATGGTGTGAGGTACAGATCTTGTTTCATTTTTCTGCAAATGGATCTCCAGGTTTGCCAGCACCATTTGTTAAACAAACTATTCTCTTCCCCATTTAATGGATTTCAGCCTTTTGTCAAAGATCAGCTGACCATAGGTCGATGGATCTATTTCTGGGTTCTCAATTCTATTCCATTGGTCTGTGTGTCTGTACCAATACCAGGCATTTTTGACTGCTGTGGCTGTATAGTAGGTTTTAAGATCTGGCAGTGTGAGACCTCCTACTTTATTCTTCTTCATTAGTGCTTTGCGTATCCGAGGCCCCATTCCTTTCCATATAAAGATAGTGATGGGTTTTTCCATATCCTTAAAGAATGCTGATGGGATATGGATTGGGATTGCATTGAATGTATAGATTGCTTTGGGTAGAATTGACATCTTCACAGTGTTTAGTCTTCCTATCCACGAGCATCGGATGTTGTTCCATTTATGTAGATCTCTTATGGTTTCTTGAAGTAGTCTTTTCTGGTATTCTTAGTATAGGTCTTTTGTGTCCCTGGTAAGATTTATTCCCAAGTATTTTATTTTTTTGGTAGCTATTGTAAATAGTATTGCTCTCCTTACTTTTCAGCAAACTCTTTGCTGGTGTAGAGGAATCCAACTGATTTTTGGATGCTGATCTTGTATCTGGCCATGATGCTAAATCTCTTAATTAGTTCCAGTAGATTTTTGACTGAGTCTCTTGGGTTTTCTAGGTATAGGATCATATCATCAGCAAATAAGGATAGTTTGATTTCTTCCTTACTGATTTGGATGCCTTTGATTTCCCTTTCTTGCTTTATTGCCCTGGCTAGGACTTCCAGTATAATGTTGAATAGAAGTGGTGATAGCGGGCATGCTTGTCTGGTTCCTGTTTGCAAAAGGAATGGTTTCAGTCTCTCTTCATTGAGAATAATGTTGGCTGTTGGTTTTGCAAATGTGTCCTTTATTATGTTGAGGAATGTCCCTTCTATTCCTATTTTGCTGAGAGTTTTGATCAGGAAAGTGTGTTGGATTTTATCAAATGCCTTTTCTGCATCAATTGATATGATCATGTTGTTCTTTTCCTTTGTTTTATTTATGTGGTGGATGATGTTGATTGTTTTTCTAATGTTGAACCATCCTTGCATACCTGATATGAACCCCACTTGGTGATATGTACCCCACTTGGTCATAATGAATGATTTTCTTGATATGTTGTTGGAGTCTTGATATATATTGTTGGAGTCTGTTGGCTAGGATTTTGTTGAAGATTTTTACATCTGTATTCATGAGGGATATTGGTCTGTAGTTTTCCTTTTAAGTGATATCCTTGCCTGGTTTTGGTATCAAGGTTATGCTTGCTTCATAAAATGAATTAGGGAGGAGTCCATCCTTTTGTATGTTTTGGAATAGTTTGAGTAGGATTGGTGTCAGTTCTTTTCTGAATGTTTGGTAGAATTCTCTGGTGAAACCGTCTGGGTCAGGACTTTTTTTTTGTTGGTAATGTTTTTATGACCTCTTCAATATCTTTTGTTATGGATCTGTTCAATTTTTCCACATCAGTCTAGTTAGATTTAGTTTAGGTAAGTGGTGTGTTTCTAGAAATCTGTCCATTTCTTCCAGATTTTCGAATTTGTTGGAATACAGTTCTTTATAGTATGCTGATAATATCCTATTGATTTCAGTTGGTTCTGTTGTTATGTTGCCCATTTCGTTTCTTATTTGTGTTGTTTGTATTCTCTCCCTCTTTTCCTTTGTTAAATTTGCCAGAATGGTTTGTCAATTTTATTAATCTTTTCAAAAAACCAATTTCTAGTCTTGTTGATTTTTTCTATTGTCTTTTTTCTTTCTGTTTCATTGATTTCTGCTCAAATCTTTATTATTTCCTTTTTTCTGGTGACTGTAGGCTTTTCTTGCTGTTCTTTTTTCTAATTGTTGGAGATGTTGGTTTAATGTGTTGATTTTGGCTCTCTCTTCTTTTTGATGTGTGCATTTATTGCTATAAATTGGCCTCTGATCACTGCTTTTGCCGTGTCCCAAAGATTTTGATATGTTGTGTTTTTATTCTCGTTTGATTCAAGGAATTGTTGAATTTCATTTTTTATTTCTTCTCTTACCCAGTCTTTCTCAAGGAGGGTGTTGTTCAGTTTCCAGGTGTTTGCCCTTTTTCCATTGATCTTCCTAT